ACCGCAGTAGGGTGTATATGTGTGAATATAGGTACACATTAAGTTATGTAAAAAGGTAATAGCCACCTTGCTAAGAAATTCCCCTTTGGCTGACTAGACAAACTGTACACAGAGAGTACACGGTGCAGCATGGGCAATGGCCTCTGGCTCACAGCCAGCAAAATCTAAGGTTCTCAGCTCAGTAGTTTGCCAGGAACCGAACTTCACTAACAAGCACATGAACATTAAAGCAGACCCTCCCACAGGCCGCTTCTACAGAGAAAACTGTGCAGTTTCAATTACAGAGAACCCAGTACTGCTGTGACCCACAGACAAGTACAAGTGTGTGCTGTTCTGAGTCACGGAGTCGGTGACACCAATGTCAAGTAGGAATAACTAATACAGCTGAAGACTGATAATGCATGCTTCAAATAATTTAGAGCATAAAGAAATTTTAAACTGTATGGAATGAAAGAAAATGCCAGTAAGAATTTAAAACACAAATGTAATGTTTAAGACTAAAAACATAGCAGGGCGTGGTGGCACATGCCTTTAATCCCATGCAGAAGTGGACAGATCTCTAAGAGATCCGGGCTAGCCTGGTCTACACAGTAAGTTCCAGGCCAGCCAAGACTACACAGTGAGACCTTGTCTCAAAAAATAAAAAATTAAAATTAAAACCAAAAGAAAAGGTTTATGAATGAAAGACATAATTTAACTCGATGGGTATGCTGAACAGCAAAATGAAGACAGGGTATATCGCAAAGCACAGAATGATTCAGACAGGAAATCCAGAACATGACAAAATGCATGCATGAAAACACTAGAGAAGCATCAGCGGAGGACAGAAGAGAGGCCAAAGTGCAAGTCCTGAGACTTGAGAAGCAACCAAAGCCCAGGAAGAGCATGGCTACAGCCACACTGTGGTAAACACTGGACTCATGCCAGAGCAAGACTGTAAGGCAGTAAGAAGATCCCTTCTGCAAGAACAGCCACTGCACACCTACATCTTCACAGTGCCAGGAGGGAACAGTCTACAGCTGGGAAGAAGGAGGTATCCATGGCAATGGACGGGAACATGGGTGGACACGGTCAAAGCACATTATATGGAGAAGTCACAACCGAGTCTGTTGTTATATACTTAGTGTGTGCTAACTACAAACAACAAAATCCTCGAGTCTGTATTGAGCTAAGTCACCAGCATAAAATGGACATTTTCAGGCAAATGAAATCTGTGGTTGTTTTCACCACTGTCTTCTCCTGTTTTTCAAATGTGACTTTGACTTTATTTCCTATAGTGCTAGAAACTGAACCCAGGGCCTCACACGTGCCAGGCAAGCAGGGAAGCACTTGCCAATGAGCTGGATCGACAGCTCAGATTCTTATGCTCCTGAGTTGTATGTACGTTGGTGTGCACACATCAGAGCACAGGCCGAGAATGAAGCTAGTTAAGAGGAATTCTGAGCTTGTGAGAAAACTCCAAGAAGTTGGGAAGGGGTTGTAACAGTTTGTCATTGCAGATGGACACACTGAAATATTATTGATTCCTCTTCATCGCCTCTGGCCCTGGAGTCATCAAGCACAGTGGGCTAAGGGCAAGGAAATAGTGGAAGTCACCAGAAAGAAAGAAAACCTACAGCTAAGGAGCACACAAAGATATCATCATAAATCAAGTCTTCCCGCCTGCAGCAAATTTAAGGCCCTATGCACCAAGGAAAAAGTTATTCTAACCAAATGCACAGAGCCCTACATCACCTGAGAATCTTTTTCTGGCAGTCCTAGCTGCTCGACCTGGGCTTCTGTACTGACTGTCTCTGAGCATGTGTATGCTCTTACGTTCCTTGGTCTCCTTTGCCTCAACTGTAGCTCAATGGATCCAGCTCCTGCTATCTTTATGAATGGCTCTGGGTTTGTGCCTGCACCTTGGGGCCATAATAGACTCATTCATTCATTTGATTTGAATCACTTCCTATTCCACAGGCCATCATAACATTTGTATTCCTTTTACAGGCAAATATGGGCTTATGTTTTGCAAGATACCAGAACTACCAATCCTATGGGTCTTCTTTCACGCTATTGTCTAGATCTTTCTTATCAGTACATTTATGTAACCAACAGTACAGGACACAGTTTGAATCCTGGTTCTTGGTGGTAGAGCACACACACAATGCTTTCACTGTTGTAATGTTACTCATTATATTTATAATTTGTTTGCTTGTATGATAGCCACACATCAAATGACAATTAGATTTCTCTACATCTTAAATCAAAACCACTCTGGATCTCCTGCTAGTGAAAAATAAAACAGAGGGAGATGTTGGGACACAGTTCATGGACAAAGCTGCGTGAGGAGATTCCTGAGCGCTTGTGAAAAGAATTCCAAGAAACCAAGACAAGAGTCTTGTGACTTTAATGTCTTCAAAAACATGGAATTGTTCTTGAATTATGCTTTTGTGTCCCTTCCAGTGTAGCAGATCGGAGTGAGTTTGCTACAGAATATTCATTATAACTGGATATTGTTACTTGTTTATATGCCTCTGTGGAAAAACATGTTTTTGCTGAGTGTGGCTTGTCCATCATGTGCGGCTTGTGTGCCACGTGTATTTTGTCCTTGTGATAACATACTTCAGTCAGGTGACTCATCTTAACCCTCAGAGTATAAATTGTATGATGCTCTGAATCGAGTTTGCTATTGTATGAGTCTTTTCTTTAGTCTGCCTCATCTATCGGCTCCCCTCGCCTGGGTCCCATCACCTTCAGACTGGAAAACATGCATGTATATTTATAAGCCTAGCTAATATGAATCTAACATACATGTTTGTCATTTTGCAGCTTTTATTGCCACATAAAGTTTCTTCTAAAGATTTAAGAGGCAGCTCATTGTTAGTCCTCTCACTAAAACAAGCATCCAATGTGAAGAAAGGTGTAAAAGCTGCTCTCCAAACCTGTCCGTGCTTTGAGCCCCAGAGGCAGGGACTGTACCTACACAATGCCAAGACCATCATTGGTTTCTGACTGTTCACTATGTTCTCTTGAAGCCCTATATAGAAATCTTCAAGGTATACCCAAGACACCAGTTCAAACTCTTGTGCTCATGAGTCATGCTAACTCCTTACTGCTGGCTCTCCTCTGTCTACTTTACTATCCTACACTACTACTTGGGAGAATAAAACTGTGTATATAGGAAATCATATAAGGTCCTTTGGCATCAAAGTCTCTTGACAAAGGCAGACACATAAAAATGATGTAAAATCAAGTCCATGGTGCAGTCAACATGAGTGCCAGATGAATAGATTCCCTTGGTGGCACTATCATTCATAAGTGAATTTTTGAAAAAAGCCATGCAATATTTATATTGTCATTAAATGAGTGATTTGTATACTGTGAAATAAACTGATAATACAATGATATTATAGGCAATTTCTCTACCTAGAGGAACAAAAACTTTGGGTAGCATAACTCAAACTAGTTGAGACAGTTTGTTCCTTCTACTTAAATAAAAAAAAAAGTACCTATAGGAACTAGATTAAAATACATTTTTTAATACACAGATTTCCTCCTCCTATTTCTCACCAGTCAATCCTAAAGGAGAGTGTTTTACACTGATCCACTTCTCCCATTCCTGCCTTGACTCCCCAGAAGCAGACTTTGGGAGAAAGCTTCGAGGACTTAGCAATCCCGGAGTAAAGCAAACCATTTCTAAATAACTGCAGTTACCCAGACGTCCAGTTTCTGAGCCATGCAGTTAGCTGAATGACAGCATTGCTAAAACCTGGTGAGCTCACAAAGCCCAGCAGACTCTCGTCCATGTACATATGGAAATCTGGCTGACTATTAACGCACACACACACACACACACACACACATCCCACTTTACTGAGCAGCTGAAGATTTTTGGAGGCGTGCTCTTTGAGTAGTGAAAACATAATAAAAATGACAGATGGGGGGGGACAGTAGGTTAGGGGAGGAGGGTGAACAGCGAGGTACAGGTAACGGGTTAACAAGCACAACTGTGTGGTCTCAGAAAACGAGAGCATCACTTCACGATTGCAGATTGCATGGAGACATCTGGGCTACGGAGGAGCCGGAGGCCTTATTCTCACGGCACCAAGTACCAAGCTGTCACTGAGTTACACAGCAGTGACTCATGCCGGAGTGGAGAGTCGGGGAGCGGCCAGACACGCAGCAGTACACTCTGGTGTCCTGAGAAGGATTATAAAATAATAATGTGATGAAACTAATTCTCTGGGCAACGTCTGGGGGTAGGAGCCTCCAGGATGGGTTATTTGGGGTTATAAGAATCACTAAGTGATCAACAGACAGAGAAGTGGAGGCTTGGAGACCTCTCTCCATAAAAGATCTATAAAGAACCTAAGAATAAAACCCCCCAAAGTCAGCTGGAGTCAACTGCTCTCATCTTGACCGCCCACCCCCCCGCCCCTGAAAAGAGGCCCCTCTCTGTCCCTATCTGCAGAGGATTCTCTGTTCTTCCTCCTCTAGGTTGTTGTTCCTTCCCTATTTTGCTTCAGGGTGGTCTCAAAATGCTTTGTCCTCCACCCTCCGAGTGTCTGTCTCATATGGCATGTTACCACGGAAGCCCAGGCGCCTCCCTGAGGCCTGCACATACACAGTGACCTGCCAGCAGCCTGGCACATCCGAGGGCAGACATCTGCAGGAAGCTCAGGGAACACTGGTCAGAACTGGGGCTTCCTGGTCACTGCAGTGGCTCACTGCAGTCCACTCTCAGGGTTCTTTTCAGTCCCTACAGACAACCCTGAAAGGTATGTTAGGAGCAGGGAAAGAGATGGGGGCATTCTTTATTGGTAGAGCAAGTCATTGGCAGGAAAAGAAAATGAAATGACTATAAAGCAATATACTCTGCTGACATTTAAATAAAGGATTCCACCGGGGCAATGCTATGATGCCTTCCACCCCAGCTCTCTCTCATCTGGGTCCGAACGCAATTTCCATTTTCCAGTGTACTTACAGCTTTGCACAGAGCAGTGTTATCTGCTACTTACTTGGGCTTGCTTGCATACTTTGAAAGGTTGAAGTGTTTCTTGGTAGAACAGCTGATGATAAGCCTGTAGGTCAAACCAAAAGTACACACTGTGCTTCCACAGCTGCAGACAGAGAAGGACAGAGAGCAGCACCGGTTAGAGAGCCCTCAGGCTGTAACTCCACTGCACACAAGCGCTCACTGCCTCGCTGCTGCCACAAATCAGCGCCAACCTAAGCTGTCTCAATCTTTCCTCACAAACTGGCAGTACACAAGATAGTATTTCCTGCTGTTGTCAATGACCCTTGCACTTCTGCATGCGACCATCCCGTAGAGTTGGTCACTAAAGTCGTGAATGTTGAAAAATAGTAATGAACACAGAAATTGCAAGGGTTCTAGTTGAAATGTAAAGAGCACGCATTTGTGGCATGAAAGCAAAGCTGGAGGCGTTCTGATATGTCAACGTATAGAGAAATATGTGTCGCAGCAGAACTAACTATCAACTGTTGAGCCAATTAGTCACTGCTCATTTGGGTCATATAAACATTGTGATTTTAAAAACATTGCTGGAAATCATTTTACCTCCACTCATAATACGAGGTTGTTAGAATTATTAAAAATCAAGCATTAACAGAAGTAAACTAAATATGGCTTATTAAATTATATAATTAGCCATCACCAGTAATGTATGTCAATATTTATCTGTATTTCACTTTTCTTTGTAATTTTAGTAAGGTGGTCGACCAAAGAGAATTCCAATTTGGCTGGATGGTTAAAGATTTACTAAGTGTGCATTTAAACATATCAGCTGGGAATCTGAACATTAGATATATTTATTTGAATGCCAAGTTATTTCAATACCACTTATTTTTAAATCAAGTAAAATAATAAATCCAGATTTTAAATATTTATTTTCTACCTTGTTCCCTGAATTCTCGCAGAATTTAGTAAAGAAGAATCCAGCTCTGTTTTCTACATACAAAGATTGCAACAAGTTTTCCATGTCAAATCCTCCCAAGGCTCCAACATTTGATACAGTTTTTACCTAGATAATAAAACAGAAGTTTATTATCTGCCTGAACATAATCCAATTCTTTCTAGCATTGTACAAAGTGAGTTTTATAAATTCTGCTGGGCTGTCATTTCATTCTTGTAGTGTACAGATGTAATTAATGCAATCTGTTTGCATCTGACAGTCATGTAGGATTCATTTATGAAGCCCAATTATGGCAGGAGAAGCCATTCTATTACAAACCAGTCTGATTCCAAGCCTGATGTTAGAGCAAATTCCCTGACCTCAATTCCTTTCCCATTTCGGGCTCAGTGGCCCCACTGGGGAGCCTTCCAAGTCTCTGTTGGTGGCCTGTCTCCTACATATTTACTGTTATTTTAGCCTTGAGGTGCGGCTATTCTAGCTACAAGTGGGTTATAAAAAGAACTAACTCCAAGGCCTCTGGTTGCTGCTTGTTAACTGTGTGTGTGTGGGGGGGGCGGGCGTGGTTATCCCTCGTTGGACAGTCTTGCCCCCACAGGTCACGGCCTCCAGAGTGGAAATGGCATTGGAAGTTCTCATAAACCTCTGCTGTTTATGACTTCTCTGCCAACAATGCTCGCAACCCGAATCCCATCCTTGAAGCAGGGAGAGCTGGCTGTTTCTCAAGAACACAGTGACTCCAGAATAGGAAGAGGGGGACTGTTCATGTAACCTCAGGATTTGTTTCTTGGAACTCGGATGTCTTTATGTTCCCCCAAACAAAGATGGTGGGGACAGGTTTACGTAAGGTTTTTACTGCCTTTATCACACTGTCTCTGCCTACTAAGCAAATCCTGAGATGAGAATACAATGGGTTTTGTTTAATAGCTAACAGCATTTGAAACTGAAATATCCTTATTTTAGTAGGAAAAAAATCCTATTTATTAGAAAATGAGAACTATTTACTTAAGATAATTGTGCAGAAATATAATTAAGTGTTCAGCTAGTGTGAAAACTGAGGAGTGTGTCCACAGTAGTCTCAGGGGCACCGAGCTCTTCATCTAAGTCATGGCTGATTACAGCATGCGTTAGGTGCTTGCTGTCAAAGCAGCTATACTCTGGAAACCCTACCTTCATTTAAAAACAAAAACAAAAAAAGGTGAGATTTCCAAGACATAACATCTACTGTTACTTTAATCAAGTTAGAAAACTGAACAAGAGTACCAAAGGGTATTATTTTGTGTCAGAGGCAGCAAGGCTAGGTCAGGACAACAGCTTTGAAAAGAGCAATCAGTGCAGGACTGAGAAGAACAATCAATACTACAAAAAAAAAAAAAGGTGAAGATTTTGTGGGGAAATTCCTTTGAGACTAAAAAACAAAATATGTTGCTGAGTAGAGAACGTGTGTGTGTGTGTGAGTGTGTGTGTGTGTGTGTGAGTGTGTGCGTATGTGAGTGTGTGTGAGTGTGTGTGAGTGTGTGTGTATGTGAGTATGTGTGTGTGAGTGTGTGAGTGTGTGTGTGTGTGTATGTGAGTGTGTGTATGTGAGTGTGTGTGTGAGTGTGTGTGAGTGTGTATGTGAGTGTGTGTGTATGTGTGTGTGTGAGTGTGTGTGTCTGTGTGTGTGTCTGTGTGTGTGAGTGTGTGTGTGTCTGTGTGTGTGTGTGTGTCTGTGTGTGTGAGTGTGTGTGTGTGTGTGTGTGTGTGTGTAGATTAGATGCTTGACTAGATGAAGGACATGGTCTTAAAACACTCACATTAAGCTCCTCGGTGTAAGTGTATTTTCTCTCCAGTTGGGGCTTCAGACATTCAGAGATATCAGTAAAAGACGTCAGGCGGACCACGGTGGTGCTCTCTGGTGGCCTCTTTGACCTAAGTTATAGACGTGAGAACAAACTGATCAGCTAAGGGCTCTCTCTGTTCACTGTCCATCTGCACAGCTTCAAAGAACTCGTAGTTAATGTTGAAAGCATGAGTGCGCCCCTGAAACTGACCACAGCTCAGCTCTGCTCCCTCACCTCTGCTCAGAGAGCCTGGCCAGGGCGATGGAGAGGAAGGAAACAAAAGCTGACCAGACTGGGGGAAATGTCAAAATGATCTTTATACTCAGGTATATTATTCAGGATTTACAGGGATAAAAATCCTTCTTTCTTTCTTTTTAATAATTAGTACACAACGTGCTTTTATTATGCTCAGACAAATCTGGAAACAACAACATAAATGTATATGAAAATTTTCAGAAGGTGAATTAATCAACAACAAAAACCATTCTTCATCTATTTATTATACATTTAATCTGCGAATTTCATACTTGTGTACAATGAGATATAACCCCCCGCCTCCCATTTATCTCCTTCAACTCCCCCAAGGCCTCCTGTTCCTACCCCACATCCTCCTTCTCCCTTGTCAAGTCCAGTTGGTGCTGCCCTTGTGCACCTGGGCCTGGACCATCCATGCCTGCCAGCGGCTATGCCTTAAAGGAGTTGACCCTCCCTGCCCCCAGAGCATCAACTGACAACAGCTCCTCACAGAGAGACCTGATCATCTCCTCCATCATGAGGGCAGCAGCCATGCCACACCCCAGGACAGCATTTCACGGCACCCCCACCCCCAGCTCTGAAATGCTTTCCACCTTCTCTCCATGGTGTTGTCTGAGTGGAGTAGACATGTGATAAAGATGTCCCTTCTGGCTGAGTGCCCGGGCTTTCCTTCACAGACCTTTGTGTGGACTATTGTCAGCTGCGAAGGGAACATTCCCTAATGGAAGTAGCAAGAGCCCAGGCCCTGGTTCAGATCCAGTCTCCACACAGGCCAGCAGCTGACAGCTGTCACTCTGAGCTGTCACTACTATTCTGTATTTATGTCTCACTTTTAGTGTTTAAGATAAGGTTTTACACTGTATCCCACATTGGCTTAAATTAAAGCTTACCATCCTTCTGTCTCAGCACCTTTAGTTGGGGTTATAGGTATCTACCACCATGGCCAGCTATGTGCAAATTTTATTTTATTTTTTTATTTTTTGGTTTTTTGGTTTTTTGAGACAGAGTTTCTCTGTATAGCCCTGGCTGTCCTGGAACTCACTCTGTAGACCAGGCTGGCCTCGAACTCAGAAATCCGCCTGCCTCTGCCTCCCTAGTGCTGGGATTACAGGCGTGCGCCACCACCGCCCGGCTTTGTGTAAGTTTTAAAATGAATAATTATGGAATATTATTCTGCATTAGAAGAATACACTGTGGAATACAACAACTTGGATGGCGCTCATGGGAATCGTGCTGGATGAAGAAAGTTCGAAAGATCGCACTTTCGTGATTCATTTATATACTATTGCTGGACTGCCAGAATTATAGAAAGATTCCTCATTCTCAACAGCATGGGTTCCAGCAACATGTGTTACATGAATGTCATTCTCCCATTTCCAATATTCTAGTTATTTAAGACTCCCCAGACCTGACCTGAGCACCGAGGACTGAACTCAGCATACCATGCATACAAGGCAAACACGGCAACACAAAGATAAATGTTTACCTGGTTTCATTTATTTGTGTGAGTGTTTGCCTGCATGGATGTGCACCACACACATGTCTAGTGTCTGAGCTGGTCAGAAGAAGGTACCAGATCCTCTTGCATGGAAGTTATAGATGGTTGTGAGCTGCCATGTGGGTGCAGGAAGCTAAACCTGGGTCCCCTAACAAGAGGACCACATGCTCTTACCCACTGGGCCATCTCTTCAGCCCTGTGTTTTTACTCTTTATTTTGAAACAAAGTCTCAGTCTGCAGGCCAGCATGTCCTGAACGCACTGGATAGCCCAGGCTGACCCTGGCCTTGTGATCCTCGGACTGAGCTTCTCAAACAGCTGGGATTACAGGTCTCCCTACCAGGCCCAGTTTTCTTTCTAACAATAACATGCAAATTTTATCTTTCTCAATATAAAAAAATAAAAGAAAGGTGATTTGTTCTCCTTGGTTCATTTTCACCTTCAAAATATATATATATATTTTTTTTGGTTTTTCGAGACAGGGTTTCTCTGTGTAGCCCTGGCTGTCCTGGAACTCACTCTGTAGACCAGGCTAGCCTCGAACTCTCGAACTCAGAAATCCGCCTGCCTCTGCCTCCCAAGTGCTGGGATTAAAGGCGTGCGCCACCACCGCCTGGCAACATTGACATTTTTAACACCCAAAATTTGTGTTGGCAAGGATGAGGAGAACCTGGAACCCAATACACTTTGTTAGAGCCAGCAAGAGGGCCTTCCACTCTACACTCATTCATTCCTTTTAGTATTAATTAAATGCACACCTGGGACTCACACCATACTAGACAATTCGACAGGTACGTTTTGCCCACCCCTCCCCTCCACTCTTATTTTCCTGTTTCCAAGCACAGAATTGACAAAAAAATCTAATGTAAAATGGCTCTCAATGGAAAATCCAACTTCAATGAGGATAAATCCCGTTTTTAAAGTCTATCTGCAATGCATGCCCAAAGAAGCATAGATCATGTTGGAGACTGTCACGAAGATGGTACTACCGTGTATACTAGGAGGCTAACAAATTGCTACCACTCCTAACAGGGATACTTGTGTAATTCCTAGAAGAACTTGACACTTCTGAAATTATCTTCATACATACATATGTGTGAGATACAGAAAAAGGAAAAAAAAAGCCATCTGGAAATTGTCTGTGGTAGAAATGGAAGAAGAGATATATACTCAGAAGGACAATGACTAGCCTGGCAGATACCAGGGGAGCTGGCACAGGACAGTATCTTCAAAGTGTTGAAAGAGAGCAACTTCGAGCATCTAAGTCCAGAGCCCAGAAATGAACAGCACACAGTGCTGCAAACAGTGTGAGCAGAGGAGCCAGCCTGAGAGAACATGGACTGGCGTGACTACATTTGTAGCAAGCATGCACAGGGAAAACACTGTGACTAGGACAGGCTTGCCAGTGGCTGGGAAAAGGGACCATGGCGTGGCTGCTAAGGGACACAGGACTTCTTGTTAGCATGATGAAATGTTCAGGAATTAGGCCAGCAAGCTGGCTCAGCAAGTAAGGGCCTTATCACCAGGCCTGACAGCTCAAGTTTGCTTTCTGGGACCCATGTGATGGAAGGAAAGAACTGATGCCTCCAAGTTCTCCTCTGATACCCACATGTGTGCCATGTCACAGGCACACATGCAAATGCATGCACCCACATATATACATGCCTTCAAACACATGCATGCGTACACACGCAAGCACACACACACACACATACACATACACACACAACAAGTAAATAAATAAATACTTAAATAACATAAAAATTAGCTTAAACATTCGGGAATTATATAGTGGTGATGGTTGGTTGACTTTGCAAATACACTGAATATCAAACTGTACACATTTAATATTATGTAAGTTGCAAACTTTGTTGTTGTATGAATTTTATTACAGTAAAAAAGAACAAACATGAAGTAATAAATTACTAAAGAAAGAATTGTCCAAAACTAATATCAAAGAGTATTCTTCAGGATAAAGAAAAAAGATCCCACTGGAGATACAGTAAAGCGAGGAAACACAAAGTCTAACAGTGCACCGCAGTAAATATTACCAGTGTTACTCAGGGTCTGTGAGCCTAGAACTGGAGAAGAACTGGCTTAGAAGAAGGCCAATGAGTGTGGGAAGGAGCCTCCACAGACGGCCTGCCCGGGGTTGGACACAGAGGCACCATTTCTACGTGTGTCACTATCTGGATTTCTTCTAACTTAGGACAGGAAGGTCACTCATAAGCCTCTAATATATGTTATTGAATCCTAAGAATTCATAAAAAAATTTAAAAACCCAATGACCTAAAGCACTAGTATTCAAAAAGACTGTACCTACCCTTTCTCAACCGCATCTTCCTTAGAAGAAACTGGACGCAGAGACTCACTTCTCCCAAGTTTTTGAGTCCCTGCATTCATTTTTGATAATTTCTTAGTTTTAGATGGTTGAAATAAACCGATTTCTTCTCCCTAAATTATGAAAAGATAATGAAATGGAAAATAAGCAAAATGAAAAAGAGTAAAATTCTGTGTGTGCGCCTCAACTTGCTGTGTCTCTAGATTTCCGCCTTCACCCCACTTCCTACTAACTTCCTACTTCCCAATGAAACAGAAATGCTTCCCACATACACCCGGGTCTTAGGAGATAAGCAATGTGGAACGCTGCAGCAGTGTGGGTGGGAAGAGGAGCCAAACACTTCTCAGGCCCTTACTTCCAGCACTACGGAAGTAGACTCTTTCCTGGGGAAGAACTTGTCAGCAATCCTTTCTTCTGGAACAGAACAGTTTAAAACTTGCATGGGAGAGCATCGGGAAATGGTAGGTCAGGGGAATAAAGCAAAGATGCTCGCTTAGCCCATAGCAAGGATCTATAACTTAATTAGTACTGTTTCTTCCTTTTATAGACATTTTATTTTCATAGTCATTTTCCCATTCTTAAAAGTTTCTAATGGTAGGAGCTGGAAAGATGGCTGAACAGTTAGCAGAGGGCCCAGGTTCAATTCCCAGCACCCATGTCAGGCCCACAACTGTCTGTAATTCCAGTCCCAGAGGATTCAAAGCCCTCTTCTGGCATCTATGGGTACAAGGCATGCTCATAGTGCACAGGAAATACCCATACATTAAAAATTAGTAACATGGGCTGGTGAGATGGCTCAGTGGTTAAGAGCACTGACTGCTCTTCCAGAGGTCATAAGTTCAAACCCCAGCAACCACATGGTGGCTCACAACCATCTGCAATGGTATCTGATGCCCTCTTGTGGGGTGTCTGAAGACAGCTACAGTGTACTCACATATAATAAATAAATAAATAAATAAATAAATAGTTTTAAAAAAATTAGTAACATATATCATTTCAACAAAAGTATAAGGTGGACCATGCACCAAGGACAGTCGGGAGCCATCAGTCAGGCTCTAAGAAGAGAGACCCTAAAGACAGAGTAGAGAGCGGGCAACGCAAGGGACCCACTAGCAACAGGGAAGGACCGTCAGCGATGGGGAAGAAAACAGGGCTTACGAAATGAGCCAAGCTGCTCTCAGCTGGTGGAGCTTCAGGTTAAGGCTGAGTGTGTGGTGCTTGTCTGAAACTCCAGCACTCAGGAGGCTGAGGCAGAAAGGTCACAAGTTCTAGGCTAGCCTGGGCTACACAGCAAGTCCCTGTCTTGAACAAAGCACATATAATTTTAGGTATTAAGCAACTATCACTGAGAAATTAATAGGCTGAGCTTATAATTAAACATATATTACATAAACATGGTTAGATTTATAGAAACAGCAGATCGAGCAGTAGCTCCCGGGTCTGAGGGTTAGGAGGGAAGCAGGGTAGTCTCCATGCTATGGACTCATTTCTCAAAGTAAAAATGTTCTGGAGCTGTACAACGTGCATGGACTCCAGACCGCTGTATAGAACACTCAGAATGGCTAAGGGGAGAAGTTGTGTGGTTATCATTTTTAATCACAATAATTTAAACATTTTTAGGCCAATTGCATAGCTCGGCAGTAAGAGTACACGGTTGGTAAGCACAGGTTGTGGGTCATACCCCTAAGAAACAACACAAGATGTTCTTCTGTTTATTTGTTTACTAATTAACTGGAGGCAGGGTCTCAACATGTAAATCTTGCCATCTTGGAACTCACTATGTAGACAAGGCTGGCCTCAAAGTTCTGCCTGCCTCCCACGTGCTGTGATTGAAGGTATACATCACCATGCCTGGCCCATAAATCATTGTTTAAACGTGAGTGTGTGCGTGTGTGTGTGTGTGTGTGTGTGTGTGTGTGTGTACCAGATCTGTGCATCCCCTCAGAGGTCAGAAGATCCTCTGGAGCTGAAAGTTACAGACAGTTGTGGGCTACCTGACATAGATACTAAGAACTGAACTCATGACCTCTGGAAGAGCAGTAAATGCTCTTAACTGCTGAGCCATCTCTCCAGCCATGACTCACTTAAAATTTTAAAAACATGTATTTCAAGTGCATAATACAGAGAAAAGCTTGTTAGGAAGTTTTTGGATTTTGTTTTGTTTTTTGTTGTTCTCTCTCTCTCTCTCTCTCTCTCTCTCTCTCTCTCTCTCTCTCTCTGTATGTGTGCACTCATGTATATGTATGTGTAGCACAGTTGTATAAGTGTACACAGAAGCCAAAAGAGGGTATCAGGTACCCTGAAAATGGAGTTATGGGTATTGGTAAGCCACCTTACATGAATGCTGGGAACCAAACCCAGGTCTGCAAAAACAAGTGCTCTTAACGGCTAAGCCATTGATCAAGCCTACAAATTCAAGTTTGAACTTTGTTACTTGACTGAAAACCATAAGAACAGCCAGAGGGATGACTCAGTAGGCGGGTGTGCTTACTACCAAGCCTGAGTCTAGTCCCAGGGACCCACATGGTGGAAGAAGAGAACTGACTCCCCCAGGTTGTCACCTGAGCCCCCAACATGTGCTCCGTGGCATTTCCCACACACATGCACATATACATACTAAACAAACACACAAATGTAATTTAAATCAAAAAGAATAGTCAGAGTACATGATAGGAGGAAACTAACCAGCCACAATGAATTGAAGAGGAATGCCCTGTGCTGTGAGTGGCTAATGCTTACACAGTCTGTATTCATGTCACGTTTGTAGGATACCCACTAAAAAGACCACACTTTACTGGTTATAAAACTTCTAATGCCCTGAGTATTTTCTGCCAAGGAGTGGTAGAACACAAAGCATGGGATCAGAACATACTGTCCACGTAGAACACACCTCAGTGACGAGCTCACTTCCAGAGGATTGGCAGGCAAGTCTGGTTTCTGCTACCTTTCACTCAAGCTAAACCCTCTCCTCCAATACAGCTCGGTTATTGGAGTTGCTTTACTTAATGGTATCACTTATTCCTTTCTCCTTCACAACCGCTCAGTTTGATAATGCTTGTATAAATCATCAGACGTCATGCTTGCTGTGCTATGCCTCCAAGATGGCGCTTAAGTCAAGCCTGGATTACTGAGCTGCGTGGGCTGAGTCAGATACTCAGCCAGTGCTGGGGCATGTGATAGACCTCATGGAACAAAGCAAACCAAGGAAAAGTCAAAACAATAGGCAAGAAACCAAGGAAAAGTGAGAGTTCTAGTGTCGAGAACATCACCTGGGAGAGGGACTTGGAAATGCAAGTCCTTGGGTCCTGCAGCAGCCCTGCTGAACCCTGGCTGTGCTGAAACCTGGGGTATCTATCTACACAAGGTCTTAGGGGATACAAGTCACCTGCTGGCAGTGGTACCGAACACATTATGCATACAGATTCTAATCTGTGGCTCTAATGTTAGAATGGGGTTGGGGATGTAGGCTCTAAGAAAAATTCATTGATTTCAGAGAGACCCCAGCTTCTTCCAGGTCAGTTAAGTCAATCTGTGAAGTTGGGACCTTGGCACTGTATACTTTAAAAGTGCCTGGGGAGATTTCCAATGTGTGCCTCAGATAAAGAAGTAGTAGAATCTGCTGACAGCTCTAACCACTGTGTGAGGACATTGACACGAGACACCATGACTCTAAAGCAATCTCCGGGCAGTTTCATGCGACTGCTACCAATAACAGAATATTCTGTGATGCTGTTAAGTCAGTGAGGCCAATGTGGAAGAATGCGGCGGGGATGCTGAGGAGCCTGTGCCACTGTGCCATGTTGTCAAATTTATTCTAACCAGAAGAGGAGGCCACTGGAGAATTTCCAGCAGAGAAGTGGGTGGCATGGTTGTCTATTTCAGAAGGGTCACTTTGCTTGCTGAACAAGCCGTGTCCAACCTTCCCTTCCTTCTTACATGGGGCACTGTGTACACTGTAACGGTAGTTTATGATATCAACCTGTGACAAATGTAATAAAGCCGCTGGCTGAGGTCACTTTCCCATTGCTCTGAGAAAAAGGACATATTTTGTCTCACAGCTTCAAGGTGATACAGTCCATCACAGTGGGGAAGCCATGGCAGCAGGCAGGGGAGGCACAGTGGCGAGGACAGGAGGCTGGTTTATCACGCTGCGGCCACCTTTAGGCAGCATCGTGTGAGAAGGAAGTGGGGCCTGGTCATATAGCTTCAAGATCCAGTCCCAGCAACACATGGCCTCCAATATGACCTCACTCCTAAAGGTTCCACAACCTTCCCAAACAGCATCCTAACCGAGGACAAAGTATTCAAATATGTGAGGCTATAGTTCACACCCAAACCACAACAGTGGACAAGCACCCAAGGATAAATAGGACTGCACAGTTACTAAAGAGCAGGTCACCCACTGGACACCCTACCTGGACCTCAGGAGACTGTGGAATGCAGGACTTCGGTCGTAATGGCAGGAGGGTGGCCATCTGTGGGAAAGGGTCAACATCCTTCCTCGGCTTCTCCTGACGGAAGCGCCAGAACTTCAGCTCAGCACTGGCATTTTTTGCTGAAGCCGAATGCGTCACACAAAATCTTGGTGCCCTTTTTATTGAAACAAACAAAGAAACAAACAAACAAACTTAAGAATCAATATGCTCAGATGAAACTATAACAAATTTCAGAATCAAAAGCCTAAAAAACGTAATTATCCCAGATATCAATTCCTTCTGCTGCTTTTTTTTTTTTCTCTGCTGGCTCATCTTAAATTTTTTTTTCTCTCTGTTACTTCATTATACTCCATTTACTCATAGAAAAAAAGGTAATGTATTAGAAAACTCATAATATTTTTTTTTTTTGGTTTTTCGAGACAGGGTTTCTCTGTGTAGCCCTGGCTGTCCTGGAACTCACTCTGTAGACCAGGCTGGCCTCGAACTCAGAAATCTGCCTGCCTCTGCCTCCCAAGTGCTGGGATTAAAGGCGTGCGCCACCACCGCCCGGCTGAAAACTCATAATATTAAAATTAGTATCTGCTTAATAAGCAAAAGAAATACTTAAGACTATTAAGGAATTTTAGCAATAAAATAGACTTTGTTTCAAAGGTTTAAAGTAGTTTGGCATTGCTCTGTATTTGAGGAGGTTGTGGAGCTTTCCATACCCACGCATCTACATATCTATATGTCTAAACATCTTTACCATAGGTAAAAATTACTACAATTAAGTTAACACTTAAAAGTATGAAAACATCTCATTTTAATTTTTGGTTTCTGAAACAAGGTCTCTCTACATAACTCTGGCTGTCCTAGAACTTACTACATAGACCAAGCTAGCCTGGAATTCACAGAGATATACCTGCTTCTGCCTCCCAAGTGCTGGGATTAAAAGTGTGTGCCTCCTTGCCTGGCTAAAAATATAAACATTTTAGAATATTCAAGTAAACATTTTAGAATATTAAAGTTTCAGAAACTTAAGAAAAAGGCTGTTTGGCACAGGACACGGAGCCCACACTCAGTTGGAGGAACATGCTAGCAGTCAATCTGCAGGTGAACCCTTTGTGACATTCAAAGCTAATTTCAGCTATCAGGCCTGTTGCTCTTCAGACCAGGTTTTCCCT